CCAGTAAGGCCTAAAATCTTGTAAGCACGAGAGGAAATAAACATCAAGTGGTTACTCCTCTCGCATTGAAATGTAGGTTCTATTGAAGACTCCAAGAAGAAATGTGTTGAAGATCTTCTTGAAAAGAGTGACTATCAGATAAAGAAGATATTTTTCTTGAAGCAATTAGTATCATCGGCAAATAGGAATGGATAAGAATGATTCACGGAGGAAGGGAGGTCATTAACAAAGATTTAGAACAGAAGTGGACCCAAAAGTACTTCCTTGAGGGACGCCAGAGATAACAGGGAGAGGGTCAGAAATGCAACGATTAAGGAAGATATGCTGGGAACGACAGGTGAGATAGGCTTGGACCCACATCCACAGATTTCCAGTTATTCCAAATGACCAGAACCTGGTAAGAAGTTCATTATGAGAGACACTGTCAAAGGCCTTCCTGAAATTGAGATAAGCTAAATTTGCTTGGGAGGAGGAGGAGATAAGAGAGTGCTGGATAAGATTGAGACTATGGTTGAGTTGCGGAGTGCTTAGGTCGAAACCTAAACTGAGCACGACAGATTGAAGCAGACACAAAGTCGATGATTTTGTCGTCGATCAACTTTTCCAGAACCTTAGTTATTGTGCAAAGTAGGGATATAGATAGGGTGGTAGTTACAAACTAAGGACTTGTCTCCAGACTTGAAAACTGGGATAATCAGGTGAGTTTGCCAATCTTTAGGCATATAGTGCTGGGAGAGACTTAGTAAGAAGAGATGATGGATGGGTTTGTAGAGGGCAAGTGTGCAGTGTTTTTCCATAGATTAACTATATACAGTGGGTCAAGAAATAAAATTTTAATAAGTTATGTATGGTAGCTTACCCTTCTATCTTGCCTTTCACAAACTCCCCGTCATACCGGTGGCCATCAGGCCACTCCATGCTTCCCCTGTTGGTCAAAACACACTGTCATGGTATTACAGTACATATTGTGACCCTATCAGCTGGGCATGTGTCAACAACATGGTAGCAAAGCAAAGTTCAACTACACCCAAGACAGCTCTTTCTTTCCAATGAAAAGAGAAGAGCTGCCCTGAGTAGGATTCGAACCCATGATCTGCAGTGTAGGCGAGCGCTCTACCAACTGAGCTAGAGGAGATTTGTGAGTCCGCAGGCCTCCTGTTGTGGTCTGAGGCTCTGCGTCCAGGAGAAGGGGAACGGAGAAACGAAGCTCACTTTCATCTTGAGGGCCCAGTCCAGGGGGAGGGGTGGAGCAGTGGGGATGCGGCCAGGACGTCATCAAGGCCGTCCTCGACCTGGAGAAGATGGTGAACCAGGCCCTACTCGACCTCCACAAGGTGGCCGACAAGCACAGAGATTTCCACATGGGTGCAGTGATATGGTGTGACTTACATACCGTCTGGCTTCCCCATTTGCCACTTGCCGCTGTAGGTAGCCCCTACATACTCCTCCATCTCCCTGTATCCATACTCCACCTCCCTCACTGACAACCACTGCTGCAGGTCCTTCAGATTCGACCATGAACTTTGCAAACCGACACACAAAACACAAGCACATGTTGAAGAATGAGGTGCATTTGTGTTTTTGTGTGGTCTGTAGCTACCACGGAACTGTAAACATTGTGAAGCGGCAATACAGAGAGCCTGCATCCAGTCAATCCAAATTCAGTAGGACCAACTTCATCAATTCCCATAGCATCCATTCCAGAGAGGACAGAGCATGTCAAGCTCCGAAATATCTCTATCAGACAGAGTAGATGAAGTAGTTGCCAATTTCTCTAGTGGAGGGATCTGGAAGGAGCTCCTGGTGAATACAGAGTGAAATAATGTGTTGAACAGGCATGCTTTGTCACAGTCTCTAGAGCCAGTGGAGGAGTCCAAAGAGAGAATAGGTGGCACAGAGCTGGTTGGTGAGAGGCTTTTAGCTAATACACTTTAAAATTTGGCTGCAGTATGCAGTTTGGTTGAATTCATGAGAGAGGTGAGATGATATTCAAGAGAAAGAAGAATTATTGTGATTTCAACAAACAATTTCTTCTTAGGGTTTGCAGGCATTTCATTGTGTGAATGATCTTAGAGTTGAACATTCCGATTTCACTTTTGGGATAAACAAGTTCATTCCTCTGAAAATAAACTGTTTAATAAATGACCATACCTGTTCTATAGAATCAGATAGAAAGTAGTAGCTGAATTCAGATTCATTTGAAAATCACGTAGACCTTCGTAGTCAGCATTAGTGTAATCAAACACAACTTGAGATTTAGTTGGGAAGGGGGTGTGTTCAACATAGATGGAAACAAGGAAATGGTCATAGGTTAGAAAAGAAGTTGACTCAGACACTGACAAGTGGCTGATAAGGTGTCATGGTTAGTGAGAAGTGAGTCAAGCATGTTGCCTTCAACAGGTTATGAGCTGAGATAGGTTAAATCTCAAACATAAAGTCACAAAAGAGGTTAAATAGCAGAAAACTACCAGAGAGAGTGGACCAACAAATGTCAGGCAGTTTTAAGTCGCCGAAAGCAATAAATAATTTCTTCACTTTGGGAAAATGAATTGAGGAAATCAACAAGAAATTAAGATTGAAATAGGCAACATTTGTGTATGGAGTCATGTACACAGTGATATTATTATGATTACCTGCAAAGCTGAGACTACTTCCAGGTTTGGAGGTGAAGTAACTTGGAAGGAGATTGTTTACTGCTATGAGCACACCACATCCGCGAGACTCTCTTTCTTTTCGATAGAGTGTGAAATTATTAGGGAGAACCTCTTTGTCATAGATGAAGTCAGATAGCCACGTTTCTGTAATACAAACGGTATCAAATGCATGAGAATAAAGAAAATACTGGAAATTGGAGAGCTTCTTGACTAGACTGTGTGAATTTAGGTAACAAAGATGGATGAAATTTGATAGTCATTGATCATAGACTGGAGCGGGAGAAGAGTGAGTAGAGGTGGGAGAGAAGACTGAGGATGACATACAGAAGGTGGATCTTGGAAGCGAGCTGAGGAATCACTTCATTCCGAGCCACTGGAGAAGTGACAGACTGGGATTGAGACAGCTGTGGTGCAGTGCGAGAAGGAGCATTTACAATGGGTAGCGCACTGCTAACAGGATTGTTGTTTTCAGCAGAAACAGAGTTGTGAAAACTGAACGAGAGGTCAGACTCAGCAGACTTTGTGACTCAACCGTGAAGTTTGTTCCTGACAAGTGAACGGGAGCCACGGATCTTGATGACCTCACGAGGTACACACTCTTCTCTCAGTAGGTGACATGTCAGGCTTGATGACAACAGGGGTACTATGAGATGACCTTTTCGATAGGATACTGGTTGCATCTGCTACTCGAAAGAATTTCACATTTTTTGTACATCACACAGGTAGTGCCGAGCATTGAATCCCGCTTATGTAGGCTCGCTTCGGTCGCCAACAATAATGCTTACACAGCACGTACACAATCTGAATTACGGTGGTCGTGCTCGTCATTGGTGACGGAGAGTTTCCTGCATCTCAAACTTCTTGGGAGGAATGATAATTATTATTGCTTCTTAGTGAGCTTTTTCTTTAAGATACAGTATGACCAGTATACAGTACCCCACATCTCAAACTTTTTGGGAGGAACGATAATATTATTGCTTCTTATTCTCCTTTGTGAGCTTTTTCTTTAAGGTACAGTGTGACCAGTAGCTATACAGTACTTTTACTTAACACAGTACCCCACAGATTCAGTGGAGGATAGTACATCCAGTATGACACCAAGGTCTTCACTGATGGTTCATCTGATGGTTCCTCAGTTCTTGTGATTGTGGTACCTGTATCAGCTGCTGGGACACTTCTTGTCATCACAATATCTGTTGTACTGATGGCAATATTTGTTGAACTCATTTTTCTTAGAAGACGATGATGACACGAAATCGGAAATTGCGTGCGAACTAATTCTCACGTGGAGAACCTATGAGGTCTTTGGGGTCTTGTACAGCCAGATATGGGCCCATTAAAAATTTCTGGTGTGTTTTCAAGGACCAGGGAGTCGTTCTCACTGAGTTGTTAGGCGTTTTGTACACGGATCACATGAGATTTGACCCACGCCATCCCTATAATATAGAGCATCTACCGACACTCTAATAACGTCTTATTCTCAGAAGGAAACAGAACAAGTAAACCTCCAGCAGCACAGACCGAATGAAACCATCATGCAGAGCCTAAAGCAGAGGCATAATGTCGACTTTTCTTGGTCTCCTATGTTTATTTTACATTTCACCTGAATGGCTCCATTTTCTCTGCTGCTACTCTAAACCTGTGCACACTTTCACATCAATTATTGTTGGCTAGGTCATGTGCCACATAAGTAGCTTGTATACTCCCCTGTGGCGCCGTGTAGTGTGAGTTTGCCCCTCAATTAATAGCGTTAAAATCGTGCCACATAAAGTTGTCCACTCTCAGAATTGTCAGCCTATTTCGATATCACATATATCAAATTGTGCCACATAAACTCCTTGTCCACTCTCTGTTGCTATGTTCCATACGTCCTCTGTAGATTGCGTAAAATCATGCCATAAGTTACTCTGGGCATAACAACACCATTCAAACTACACCTTTAGCAACGTATGAACAGTTTAGTTTCTAATCTCCCTTTAGTAATCTAATGTGCACTTGCCTTTGGGTTGAAACATTTCTTTCATCTACACTCTGCTGTTAGGTTTTTTGGCAAAATGCAGCAGTTTTTTCGTTTCAAAACGAAAAGACAAGAAAAGACTTTGCTACACTGTCAGCAGTTGCATACAAAGGAACTGGACCTTGTGTTTGTGAGTCTTGTGTGAGTGTACTATTGGAAATAATACTGCCGTATTTTTTTGTTCCATGAGTAACTGTCTGCTTCTGCTAATTACGTGGAATGAGTGACTGTAAACAGTTTGTTTTCGCAAAGATTTGTACAGCAACTTAGATGCACTGTTCCCACCCGCTTGTCTGTTTACTCTTGGTCAGCCTTTGTTGCCGATGTTTTGACTGGATGTTTTCAATACACAATGTATGTTGAGTACAAATGTATGAATGAGGAAACAGGTTATAGAGGCTTTGCATTATCAACAGTCTCATACACAGGGACTTGAGCTGGAGTTTGTGTCTTGTGTGAGTGTCCCTCATTTGGCAGTATCCTCATCTCATACAGGACACCAGGTCTTCACTGAGGTTCATATGATGGTTCCAAGTTCTTGGATTGTGGGGGGGGGGGGTATCCCGTATCAGCTGCTGGGACAACTCTTGTTATCAAAAATTCTGTTGTACTGATGGCAATATTTTGGAATAATTTTTTCTTAGAAGACGATGATGACACGAAATCGGAAATGGCGTGCGAACTATTCTCACGTGGAGAACCTATGCGGTCTTTGGGGTCTTGTACAGCCAGATATGGGCCACATTAAAAATGTCTGGTGTTTGTCGTCTTCAAGACCAGGGAGGGCCCGGGAAGTCGGTTCCTCACTGAGTTGTTAGGAGTTTTGTGCACGGATCAATGAGATTTGACCCACGCCATCCCAATAATAAGAGATCTTCCGACACTTAATAATGTCTTTTCTCAGAAGGAGGAAAAGCGAGTTAAACCTTGAGCAGCACGACCGAATGAAACCATCATGAGAGCCTAGAGAGAGGGCATAAGTGTGTTTCTTGGTCTCCTATTGTTTATTTTACATTTACCTGAATGGGTTTTCATTTTCTTGATGCTACGTATAAATCTGCATGTGCACACTTTCCATCAATTATTGTTGCTAAGTTCATGTGCCACATAAGTAGCATTTATACTCCCTGTGGCGCCGTTTTGTGTGAGTTTGCCCCTCAATTATTGGTAACTAGCATAAAAATCGTGCCACATAAAGTTGTTGTCCACTCTCTGAATTGTCAGCTTATTTTTGAAATCGCATAATAATATAAAATTGTGCCACATAAACTCCTTGTCCATTCTCTGTTGCTGTGTTCTATACGCCCTCTGTAGATTGCGTAAAATCATGCCATTAGTGACTCTGGGCATAACAACACCATTCAAACTACACCTTTAGCAAAGAATGAACAGTTTGGTTGCTAATCACCCTTTAGTAATCTAATGTGCACTTGCCTTTGGGTTGACACATTTCCTTCATCTACACTCTGCTGTTAGGTTTTTTTGTGCAAAATGCAGCAGATTTTGCAAAATGAAAAGACAAGAAAAACTTTTCTACACTGTCAACAGTGTATACAAAGGAACTGGACCTTGTGTTTGTGTGTCTTGTGTGAGTGTACTCTTGGTGATGATATTGCCGTATTTTTTCATGCTATGAGTGACTGTCTGCTTCTGCTAATTATGTGGAATGAGTGACTGTAGACAGTTTTTGTTTCGCAAAGGTTTGTACAGCAGTTGCCACCCGCTTGTCTGTTTACTCTTGGTCAGCCCTGGCGCCATGTTTTGACTGGATGTTTTCAATACACATGTTGTGTACAAATGTATGAATGAGGAAACAGGTTATAGAGGCTTTGCACTGTCAACAGTCTCATACACAGGGACTGGAGCTGGTGTTTGTGTCTTGTGTGAGTGTCCCTCATTTGACAGTATCCTCATCTCATACAGTGGGTTGTTCTCCATGTTGTAGTCTGGCTCCAGTCTATCACCAGCTGAGCCTTGAACATGGACACCATAAGCAGAGTTCTCCACCACATCACACTTCTCCTGCTGTCTGTAGCTACTACCTATGAATTTAATTCATAATCAACACTTGACAATGATGGCAACTTACATGTCCTTTTAAGCAAAAAAACGAGTACAACAGATATTGTGATGACAATAAGTGCCCCAGCAGCTGATACAGGTACCACAATCACAAGAAATGAGGAACCATCAGTGACTGGTGTTGGTGTCATACTGGGTGTACTATCCTCCACTGAATCTGTACAGTATTGTGTCAGGTAAAATCACAATATTTCACAAAAGAACTCCACCTTCATCATACTGTATCTCAAGTGGTAAGGGATCACTGTATCCTGCACAGTTGTGGGCTGAGATGTTCACTGACAGTGTAGTATTGTACATGATGTCAAAACTGTAAGTGGGGCCTGGAGTTTCCAACTGTGTGCCATTGTCCACTTGAATAATGTAGTGATCAATTGGAACTCCTCCTCCATCAAACATATCTCCTAGCTCTAGTACTACTGTGTCCTTCTCTCGGTTTACAACACCTACTGCTTTAATAGATTTAGGCACATCTGAAAAAGATGCAACACAAGATTATCCAAAGCCTACCTCTGGTTTTGCTCACCAACCTGTATCATAGATGGTAGCAGTCATTTTACACTCATCATTCGCAACTAAAGTAATGCAAGTGACATTTGTTCCATTTCTCATGCCAGATGTTGCCACTGTTAGACTTATGGTCATGTTTGCAGAAATGTTATCAATTCTATCAAAATATACAAGAGTTGAGAGGAGTACATTGTCGGTGCTATTCATTGTCAGCCTTCCTGGGTCTGCCATCATTTGGGAAGGAACGTAAGTCAGATCACCCATTGTATGAGGTTCCACCTCCCATTTAATGACAGACACCTGGCTGTCACTACATGTGAATGTTGCAGATTCATTGGGACAGGAATGAAAAGACAGTGGTTGCAGAGCTGGCTCTCCAGCGCATAATCGCCTTGTGTAAATAGCAGAGAGAACACCGTCCAGTATCTGACCCTGCAACAAGAGTCCAATGAATAGGACATGGTAACCGATATTTCTCTGTCGCATTTGGCCGGATTTTTCTTCTACCAGAACTTTTGCTTACACCAAACTTCGATTATCTGAGAGTAAAAAATGTTCCGTTTGGCCGAGAAAACCGCGTCGCGTTAGCCTCCCGGGCGGAGCCCGCACCTCAACTATGTAAAAGGAGGTGGAGTCATCATCGACGCGCCTAACATAGTTGCGAACTTTTCCGGAGGACGATCCGGGAATCGCGTCCCCGCCCCGTTATAAATGGGCCATGCCCACTTATTACGTAATATAACGCGCGCGTGATAACCTTCGCATACGTGTGCGCGCGCGTATGCTCGAAGCTCCTCGTGCTGACACTATAATAATATAGCATTGCATAGCCTCGCACGGAGAGCCAAAGCTAGCTAGCTCAGTAAACTTACCAAGAAACTGTTACTAAAGGTACTGTTTGAGATCTGAAGAGGTCATCTTACGCAAGTGGAAGCGCTGGCTAGCCAGAAAATTCTAGCTAGCTATAGTCACTGGTTGACACTATACCATATCCGTGTATGCACAGGTGTGCACGGTCATCAAGTGATCGTTTGTTTGCTGCCGTAAGTCAGTACGGTCGATCTTATCCAGTTTGACATTTATTAATGCTGGGGGTGTGCGTGTGTACTACAGGCCGTCAAGAGTCTCAGTCTAGGTTTATGCCAGTGCCAAGGACTCACCACAGTGTACCGAGAGTCACTTTGACTCCTACCCACAGCCGGCGCCAGAGAAAGAGTGTATGGGAAGATTCTCCAGAATGATCTTACAATGCTGTCTGAGTGGTGTACCACCTGGAGCATGTCACTGAATGAGGAAAAGTGTTCTACTGCCCATTTTTACTAGTTCTACTAGACGCCCTCCTCTACAGTTCCAAACCTCAACAGAAAGATCTTGGTCTACTTGTGTCAGCTGATTTGAATTGGCAACCCCCAACTATCAGTTAATAACATCAAGGGATTACAAAATGCTTGGCCAGTTACGCAGAGTCTTCTCGAGTTCAATTCTATGGCGGAGTTTGCCAAGCGTTCCTTGTACATTTCACTTGTAAGGCCTGAGCTGCTCTCTGTTCTCCTGTGTTGCATCCTTACTTATTGGCTGATGTGAAATGCCTTGAGCTACTTCAGAGAAGGGCGACTAAGTTCATAGTGAATGATATATACTTCTATGGACTACCGAAATCGTTGAATTCATCTTAAACTTTTATCTTTGATGATGGAACTAGAAATTGCTGACATCATTTTTTTGGTCAAGTTTGTGAGGTATCCATCGGACCCTTCAACATCTTCGATTTCGTGCAGTTCAGTACTCATCACACTCGTTCAAGCGCCAATTTTAAGCTTAAACACACAGTTTCCTGGAACTACAACGAAAAAACATTTTACTTCAGTCGCATTATATACCTCGACTATGGAACTCTCTCCTCTCTCTTCTATCATACCCAAACTTCACAATTACTTCTGGGACCATTTCATCTCACATTTCAATCCCAATGACGAATGCTCCTATCAATATTTATGTCTGTGTTACAAATGCTCTTCAGTATTATACCTGTTAACATGCACTTTAGCAGTAATTCACACTAGTGTAAGTATGTGTGTGTTGGTTTTATTTTCTCGGATGCTGGCTCTTTGCCTGCAGTCCCTCAACACAGTCTTTATAATTATTTTCATTACCACTTTCTTTACATCGTCCTTGTAATTAGTACTCACTGTGTTGTAAAGCATAATTAATAATAATAAGAATGAAAAGCACTGAAGTGCAAATCCTCGGCGCACTGACGCGCACGCGTAAGTAAACGCATGCGCCGTACCACTAATTGATGGGCTGGGTTTAGTTTTAGCTGGTCTCTTGCCAGCTCGCGCAGAGTCTGACGCAGACTAACTATACTACTAGATAGCATGCGAGAGGCGATACACGCCCTGCGTTGCATCTTCTGGTGCCTCCGAGGTACGCAGAGCACGCGGATCGATCATGCTGTAGTAAGCCGTCCCGTCCGTTGTGTATTTGCATATTGGCTTTTTCGCGCTCTAGCTTTGCAACGGAGCATTATCAGAGAAAACCCCACAAATTTTCTGACCTTCATCGCCCGTTGGGTAGAGGGTATCGTTTCTGGGACGAACAGACGTTCGAGGAGTGAGATATAGAGTAACAGACAAACAGACAAACAAACAGACAGACCCAATGAAAAGCACTAAAGTGCAAACCCTCGGCGAAGTAGCTCGCTACAGTACCCTCGCTGCGCATGCGCGCCGAGGGTAATAATAATAATCTAGCCTAATGACGCGGTGAACTGCCAGTGCCCTCAGAGTTCGGCCAACCCTACACTGTTTGTAACTGGGGTTAGGCAAGCGGGCGTACAGGGGAAAAAGACCCGAGCGCAGTAGATTATTCGAGTCAAAACAGTAAGATGACAGCGCGAACCAATGACGTTCCACGCAGACAATGTTTTCATATATATAACGTTACGTAATCCATATCAACATTTGATACAGTATCCTCATCTCATACAGTGGGTGTTCTCCATGTTGTAGTCTGGCTCCATCTATCACACACCAGCTGAGCCGTCAAACACTTGACACTCATACGCAGAGTTCTCTACCACATCACACTTCTCCTGTCTGTCTACTACCTTCATCATCAACACTTGACAATGATGGCGGCCATTACATGGCCTATTTAAGAAAGCAAAATATGAGTACAACAGATGTGTGATGACAAGAGTGCCCCAGCCGCTGATCACGTACCGCAGGACATCACAGAACTGAGGAACCACCATCACCATCTGGTGTTGGTGTCATACTGGTCTTTTCGCACTGTGGGTGTACTACTAATCCTCCTCCGAATCTGTAGAGTATGCGTTAATGTTAAATCACACAATATTTCACAAAAGAACATCCCCTTCATCATACTGTATCTCAAGTGGAAAGAAATCACTGTATCCTCAGCACGCTTTGGGCTGCAGATGTTCACTGTCAGTGTATGTGTTGTACATGATGTCAAAACTGGAGTGGGCATGGAGT